AACGGAGGGAGGCGGGACGGAGGGGGGAGGGAGAGATGGGGGGGAAAAGAAAGGAGGGTGGGAAAAGAAACACGGGAGGGACGGGGCTAAGCGGGCGGGAGCGAGCGGAAGGGATCGGAAGGGAACTCGGGAGAACGAGGCCGGGAACACTTACCGAGGGATGACGTGGCCCTAGGAAATAACGGGCCGGGAAGCGGATGACTCATCCAGGGGACTTAGAGACCTGAAGAAGAAGGGCTAAGTTAAAAAGAAGTTATTGAAAGAATTACCGGCAGTGAGTGGGTCGAGGATAAATGGATCCTAACTAGGAGGGCGTAGAGGGGGCTGTACGGCAACCTTAATAGGTCCGGTTGTTGTGATGTCGAGGTGACTGATACGCGCGCTAATCCACCTACCGACCCCCAGTTGCACCTCCGAAGTACCGCCGCTGTTGCCGGGAAGACATTGCTGACCCCGCGCCGAACGGAGACGCATTAGGTTGAAACCCCCTTGCTCTATCAATCTCTTCATCGGACAAATTGATAAACGGCTCTGCGTCCTGACAACGTTCCCATTAACTAGTCTTTTAAGGCTTAACAAGAATCTGACTGTACCTGTGAGGATGCATCGTTATCTTCAGGGGAAGGCGGGGTGTCAAAGTACTCTTGCAGAAGCTCCTGTACCTTCGTGGCTTAGGGCCTTTCACGAAGATGGAACGCTCTACACCTTTTGACAATGTCCCAAAGACCACTGTTCATACTTTGAGGCTTAACAAGGGGTTCATGCCGTACGATGGCATTGACGACAGCCCCCTCGAGCTTGTCAGCGTAAGGAGGCAGGCCCGAGTACATCTACAGCGAAACATGACTATAAGCGCTGAATAGAGGGTGTGCCAGTGTACGTACCTCGAAGATGGTACAACCAAAGGCGTATATGTCACGACCTCGGCTCATAGGTGCATCGTCTCTCATTAGCTCAGGAGCCGAATATCGAAGCGTCTTTCCATCTGAGCGGTTTGCAGTCGACGTCCAACGCTTTCGGTCGCTGTTTTTTATGTATGATAATCCAAAGTCACCGATCCGCGCTTGATTCGTGCTTGAAACGAAGATATTCTCCTGGACTGATATCTCAGAACAGCGCCAGAGGAGGCGACATCTAGTTCTCACGGTTTTGATGTCTCCGTGTATTACATGTGGTTTTTGCGTGTGCAAATACTCTAGGCCGTTGATAATGTCACGAATCTGAATGATAACATGGGTGTTGGTCAGTCTGATACTGTTTTATACTTGAACATGAGCTGACGAACCAATGAATGCCTGTCAGGCGTCTCGTGGTTTCGAAGGTACTCGACTAGATCGCCTTTCTCCATGAAAGGAGAAACAAAGGACAAGACCGGGTGACTTTCAGGACTCTTACCCAGAAAAACGCCACGCAGAGGAAGAATGTTAACATGAGACAATCGGGCCCAGATAACAAGCTCTCTGGCACAGCCCTATGTCACAGTTGGATCGGTGTCCTTCTGCCGTTATGTTACACTGCACGAACATACCTTAAGTATTCCGCTAATGTCGGAGCTTCGGAACCGGGTTCGTTTTACCGCCACCATCTCTCCACGAAGGAAGCCCTGATAAACGTCTGCAAAACCTCCAGATCCAATGCGAGTACTCTCATCTAGTTCCACATCTTCGATCCTCAACTGCTGAGGAAAGCGCCCCGAATTCCTGGCTAGCTTGAATAGAGCCTCGGTGAGAGTTCTGTGATCGCTAAGTTTCAGTGAGAGCTCATTGAGCTAAGGTTGAAGGAGATGTGAACATGAGCTCCGAGGTTTTGAGTGTTACGCATGAAGAGTCAACTTACGGAATACAGCGTATTGATCAAGCTTTGCGCTTCCTCCTCCCTTAATGCAAATATTTCTCTATGAATGTTTGAGACTGAATTGTCGAGCAAGTGGACTAGATTTTCGGCGATAACGTCGAGATCCTTAGAGGGCTCAAGATCGGTTGAGCAAACACCGCTGCAGTTGCGTGCATTTGAATCAGAGTTAGAAGGCGAAACCAGAAGGATCTTGGATAGCTTCTGTCGTAGAGACTTTTGTTCGATCATGAGAGAAAGCGAGTCGTATGACTCCCACTCTGAGATGATTTGATATATCTTTCTTAGAGACCTGGTATAAAGCTGGTTAGCCTCTTACGCTCTGAGGGCAAGAATCCCTTACTCGGGTTCATTTACGCATATCAGCGCATGAACGACGACAGCAAGTATGAGGTTCTGAGGAAATTAGGTAGTGAGCTAACGCACAATGAGCTAATGCAAGATCTGAGGAAGACATACCGGATGAATGCGAACCTCAGCGACCAGATAGTCAAACATAGACTTCTCCTCTTTTGGTAATACAGAGGACGTTTCCGTCAGACGGTCATATAAAGCAAACTCGGGTCCGAAAAGGGTACGGCGCTTCAGTTGAGGTGGGCCGTCGGGCACGGGGGGCGGCGAAGGCGGAGGACTTGCCATAGCGATGTCGCGTTCAGGAGAGACACTTCCCCTCGGCTTGAAAACCATGACAGGCATTCCGTGTGGCCGTGCACTGGCAGTAACGTGAGTCTTGCGATGCTTCAATAGTGCCCTGAAGGTCTCGAAGTGAAGGCTGCAGTCGACGCAGCAATAATCAGCTTCATCCGGACTTCGTAGATAGGTAAACAGCTTTGAAAAGGATACGAGAGCACGTAAAAGACACACTGAGTACGTGCATGCTTGATGCATGCTTCTTTCTCTCTGAAATAGGCCCCACACCCTTGGTGAGGACAGCCGTACGGATGTGTGCTAACAGCGATGTCGAACAGTCCGCCTTGAGAGCTAGATAAATGGATAAACAAATAAAACATACAAATCTTGCTCGTCGTTGAGTGTGAAGCCGCCTTCTATTGTGCGGGTAGATGCCATAGTACATCGATGGTGGGAGCAAGCAGTACTAGCTAGGCGCTGGTCCCCGGATCGGAAGTGCACCGAGTGTATTTTCCCACCATGCACGTTGCAAATGGATTATAGCCTGGAACTAGGCTAAGCGTAGAATGTAATAGAGCTTTAGCACTCATGAATTGACTTGGCAACATAAAACGTGACACATTGGAAGGTTCAACACCAGCGCTCAATTCCTAAATCTACGCAGAATCTTTTCGGGAATCGTCTCGCCATGTCCCTGCTTCCTATACAACATAAGCGTCGTCCCTTCCCTCAGCAGAGTCAACGGTACGCCCTCGTCTACTTTCCTCACTTCCCTCAAAATACCGTCCAAAAGAACTTTCAGCTTGGCCATCTCGTTTGTTTCCGCAGCTTGTTTTCGACGCTTCATGTTGACGGATGCCTCTTCTTTGAGCCTTTCCTTGGTCACGTCATTAAAAATACCGTTTTTGTGTTTTCCAACATATAACCACTCTGTCTGAGAGAGATAAAGCTGGCGAAAGGTCTCGTCCCAACGGATCTTATTCTTAAGAGAGCGGGTTTTGATCTCAATGAGGGATGACTGAGGTACAAGCTCCAGAGATGACTGAACCTCGACGGATAGACCGTGGATATCGCTCGTCGTGGAACCGTCGGCGCGTGTAGGAGAAGTGTCGCATTTGGTGTCAAGGCATGCATCGACTTCGAATCGAAGTAGTACGTTGAGTCCACCCAAGCTCTGGCGCTCGGGTCAGGTCACGGATACTCACGTAGGAAATAATCCTGTGATGGGCAGCAGCCTTTTCGCACCCAACAGCGGGGCGAGTAGTAGCTTCCTCGAATCCGAGACCGTACCCAGGATGTTGTCTGGAATGGTCGGCGGTTTTGACCTTGGTGAGTATGCATGCATTTCCAGTACGCTGAATGTCGATGCGAAAGGGGTCGGGATCAGAGTTCGTCACCCAACGCAGGAGCTTTCGCAGGGTGTTCCGTTCTGTGATAATATCTATTATGTCGTACTTGAAGCTTGCACCATGGATGGTATCGACCGCAATGAAAAGAGCGAGAGGCGAGGCAAAAGCCCACAATACAGCCTCTTTTTTTTTTGAGAGTATTTGCATATCTGTCATCCTTAACGACACAGGGAATGTTGTTGGTCCATATGTTGGGGGATCCTGTGGCCGAGGTGAGTCATCAAAGATCCGCTCGGAGCTGAATCTTTGCAAAAAGCTCACCAGGTACAATCATTTTGAGAGCATCGTTCGACATAACGCAGGAGTAAGATGCAATTGGAATGACATTAGTGATCTCAACAGGAGCAGAAACAGAGGAGGGATGTTGGAACGTTGCCAACTGTTCGCCAAGGTCTGATGTGAGAGGGACGAGAGCATGATTATGGGATAGCGGAGACATCTCGTCGAACGGAAAGCCCAGCAATTCGAGAAAGGATCAGATGCTCAGAATAGCTAGCTCGCTGTAAGGGCAAGTACTATAAGACGACTCCCGTGAAGATCTGATGAAGAATAAGTTGAGTGCGCACTCATCACTAAATGGGTGGGAAAAGTTTGACCGTTATACCGAGTGATCACCGTTATAATATCGTCGTCGAGATAGTTTTGTATGATCACGAATGGTGACGCATTCCCATTGAGTGAACATATCCTTATGGTGTGGCAGTGAATTTCGGCCGAACACCATGTCGCGGACACTTTACCATTGATCAAAATTGATGATCTTGCTCGTACATTTGTTAGTCGGATATAAAATACGGAGACCATTTCAGAAACAAAATTATCATTGAGCGATAACTTCAACTGCATATGGCAGCCACCGCTTTAGGTAGACACGAACACTAACGAACAATAAAAACGGTAGAGATTCGAATACCCGCTGACCTTTACAATGATGCGAACCCGGTTGCGTTGGTGAGAGCCTCGTCTTCACCCAAAAAAAAGCTCTTGATCTGTACGTGCTGCAGTCTCTGCTTCAGCAAGCTATGCTGGGTCTCCTTCTTCATCGCTGGTATCACCGCTCTCTGTCGGAGTGAGGTTGTACACCGCTCCGGCGTTGGTCTGGT